AAACTACACCTGGGCCATAGAAACTACACCTGGGCCACAGAAACTACTTCTGGGCCATAGAAACTACACCTGGACCACATAAACTACACCTGGGTCACATAAACTACACCTGGACCATAGAAACTACACCTGGACCATAGAAACTACACCTGGACCACATAAACTACACCTGGACCACATAAACTACACCTGGACCATAGAAACTACACCTGGACCATAGAAACTACACCTGGGTTACATAAACTACACCTGGACCATAGAAACTACACCTGGACCACATAAACTACACCTGGACCACATAAACTACACCTGGGTCACATAAACTACACCTGGACCATAGAAACTACACCTGGGTCACATAAACTACACCTGGACCATATAAACTACACCTGGACCATATAAACTACACCTGGACCACATAAACTACACCTGGGTTACATAAACTACACCTGGACCATATAAACTACACCTGGACCACATAAACTACACCTGGACCACATAAACAACACCTGGGTTACATAAACTACACCTGGACCATAGAAACTACACCTGGACCATAGAAACTACACCTGGACCATATAAACTACACCTGGACAAGCCTCTCTGTTTCCTCTCTAACAGCATCACATCCTGGCTCTGGCTCTGGCTCTGGCTCTGGCTCTGGCTCTGGTTCCGGTTCTGTTGGAGGTTTGTTCCTGTTCAAAGAGAGTCATTTCTTTCCACTGTCGCCTCCATGTTGCTCAGGTTGAGGACCGCCATGAACGTGTTGCTTCCGCAGACAGAAAACTTCTTCCAGTCCTTTCATTTAAATCCATATTTGGGTTCAGATCGACTTTCATTGGATTTAATTCTGGATCTGAACTGGATTAAAGATTTGGACTTCTTCTTTTCTACTGAGATGACCTTTGCTGTGATTTGGTCCATTTAACAGATTTTAAATAAATCACTTTCATGCCAGAGTGGAAGATCATTGTAAGAAGCGATGATGGAGGCACAGTCTTTTGGTTTAATCATATAAATTATAATTTGTTTGCTCACACATATTGTGATATCTGCAGTTGGTGTTTAAAGGAAGTGTTGTGAAAGGCTCAGCTTCTGCTGACAGACAACACGCATACCTTCTGAGGACACCGAGCTTTTGTTTTGGTCCGTTTCCGCAGGCTGGTGGTGCTGTACTGACTCGCACTCTGTGCAGTTGGAGTATTTGTGTACATTTACACAGAGTGCATAGATGGCATACTTCATGGCACAGAAGCCCCGGAACAAAACTACGTTCTTCTGCACGCCAGCACTTCCACTGACTGCATCGGTTTCTTCTGCAGGAATAAAAACAACAAATAACAAATGAAAGGTTTACGTATAACCCTCCCCAAGACCAAAAAAACTCATAAAACTGAAAATGCGTTTTTTTTATAAAAATGGAATGAGCTGAAATTTGTTGGAAAGTTAATTGTTAAAGTTAAAACAAGCCAAACATAAAGTCAGCAAAACAGTAGCTATGAACTAAAATGAGCTAAACTCAGAAAAAGTAGGATTTAGATCAAGTGTCTATTTCAGGAGGTAAATGAAGGATCTTAATGTTTTTTCTGTGGGGAACATTTTAGTTATTGTGTGAACGTTTATGAAACATTCACTCTATCGTGATGCGGTTTTCTTCCGAACGTTTATCAGTTTCTTTCTCGTTCCACAGTTTTTGTGCCATTTCAACAAATCATGAATCAGAATGTTCAGCTCTTTCAGGACAATCCTGCTATGACTCTTCGTATTGGAGCAAATTTAGCTTTTTAAAACATTTTTCTCCTCTTACAAAATGAATCGAGCTCATTTCATCTGTTTACAATCTATTACTGCTCCTTTCACATTTTGTTCTGGTTCAGCTTCTTTCAACGTCCTTCTGCAAACTTAAACATTTTTCAGCAGTTTTGTGCACCTTTCAGATTCTTTCTAACTACAACATTTTCTGCTAATTTCAGCTTGTTATGCTCCTTTCAGCTTATTTCAGCTTTTTCTGCTATTTCAGCTACTCATAAGCAGTTTTATGCTCATTTGAGCTTTTTCAGCTAATTTTACTTTTGTTGCACTCATTTCAACTTTTTTCAGCCTAATTCAACTAAAATGTGCTCTCTCCACTTCCTTCTTGTAATTTAAGCTTCTTTCTGCCCTTTTAGCTACTTTTTAACTGGTTTTATGTTAATTTCAGCTTTTTCAGATAATTTATCATTTTTTTAGCTCATTTCTGCCTCTTTAGGCCTAACTGGGCAAACATGTTTTTATCTGCTTTCTTACACTAATTTAAGCTTGCTCTACCTTTTCAGCTTGCTATTTAGCATATTTTAGCTCATTTCAGCTGTTTTCAGATAAATTCAAGTTTTTCATGATAATTTCTGCTACTTTCAGTCTCAATTATTTCTGCTAATTTCAACTTGTTTTGCTCCTTTCAGCTCTTTTCTGTTAGTTTCTGTTATTTCAGCTACTATTTAGATGTTTTATGCTAATTTGAGCTTCTTCAGCTAATTCTACATTTGCACTCATTTCAACTTGTCTTCTTTCTGCTTTCTCCTGCTGATTTACGCTTGTTCTTCCATTTCAGCATATATTTCAGCTGTTTTTCAGCAAGTTCTTCTGCAATAAGCATCCACACTGCATTTTAGTAGGAAAAGCAATTTCTTTAGTTAAATTAAGTTCAATAATAGAACAAGTAAAAAAGTTACAGTAATCCTGACACAGCTGTACGTTTGCAACAGTTGGGACAACACCAAGTATGCAGAGGTCGTGAGATTGTAAAAATCAATCATGACCAGTAAACCCACAGCGAGACTCGTCTGAGATTAAACAAAAGTAAAATGTGCAGCACCAACCTGCTCTTGGTGAATCTGGCAGCTGTTGGAGCAGATCTAAGATCCGGTGTTCTTCGTAGCGAGTCAGAGGCGTCAGAGTGTGCAGAAGATACAGCGCTGAGTGGCTGCCCAGAGTTTGGAGCTGGGCCAGCAGCACTTTAGTTGACAGCCCTCTGCACAAAGACACCAACACAAAAACACAACATGAAATTAAGAACTGAAGTTCTAACACAACACCAGCTCCAGGCTGGACACCTGTAGTGTGTAGGAGGAGAAATTTTAAAAAAAAGGTGGTACACCGATGTCCCCTGTCGTTGAAGGATTGGAACAGTGAACGTTTGAAGTTTTCTGGACTTGAACTGTAGGGAACACAAAGAAACCTTAATGTTTTTTTGTTTAACAGATTCTATGATGGCCTTGGAGTGACACGGTGGCGCAGTTAGTAGAGCTGCCACCTCCCAGTGAGCAGGTTACCCTGGTTCAAATCCCGGTCCGGGGGCCTTTCTGTGCTCTAGCATCAACGTGTGGCATGAAGGCTGCACAGAAGATGTTGGAGTCAGCCTCCCCACCATCACAGACATCTACACCTCCAGATGCAGGAAGAGAGTCGCCTGCATCATGAAGGACCCCACTCACCCAGCACACACACTTTTTGCTCCACTCCCCTCAGGAAGGAGGTTGAGGAGCATTACGTGTAGAACCACTAGACTGAGGAACAGCTTCTACCCTGAGGTTGTTAGACTCGTGAATCTCTAACCAGAATAATCACTGAAGAATCAAAGCATGTTGCTGCTGATCTGTTTCATGTTGCTGCTGATCTGTTTCATGTTGCTGCTGATCTGTTTCATGTTGATGTGTTCATGTGTGCTCATCTGCTCACACAGACTCATGTTCCTGCTGCTGTTAGGTGTATTGATTTTATGCTACTAGTGCTTAGTGTACATTTAGTTTATGCTTTTCTTAGTTCATATCTTAGCTCTTATTACTGGTTTTCTTTTACAGTTTATTATTGGCTGCAACTGGGACCCCGTGTACATAATTTATTTCCACCACATGTACCACATGTGGTGAAACAACAAAGAATCTCTGAATCTGAATCTTTCTGGGTGGAGTTTGCATGTTCTCTCTGTGCTGCATGAGTTTTCTCCGGGTACTCCGGTTTCTTCCCACAGACCAAAAACATGCATGTTAGACTGACTGGTAACTCTAAATTGTCCCTAGGTGAGAGAGAGTGAATGGTTGTTTGTCTCCGTGTCCCTGTGATGGACTGGAGACCTGTCCAAGGTGTCCCCTGTCTATCGCACAGTGACTGATGAATATGGGTACCAGTCAGCCCCGTGACCCGAATAGGAAGGAGCGGGTAAAGATAATGGATGGATGGCCTTGACCGGTATGGATTAATCTTCAGCCACCCCACTCATTTGAGGAAACTAATATTTTAAGCAATATAAAAACTAGAAAGCATAATTTCCTTAAACGATAGGGGTGGCCAGTTTACAGATTTATATGGTGGTGGCCATGTTGGATTTTCCACGGCCAGGATGGAACCCGCATTGTTCCTCCTGGATCTGAGGTTCGACCAACGATCTGACTCTTCTCCAGGACCCCTGAATAGATCTTACCAGGGAGGTAAGGAGAGTGATGCCGCTGTAATTGGAGCACACCCTCCAGTCCTTTTTGAAGAAAGGAACCACCACCCCAGTCTGCCAGTCCAGTGGCACGGCCCCCGATGTTGCAAAGGCGTGTCAACAAAGACAGCACCACAACATCCAGAGCTTTTTTGTTTCCACTGCATCCCTGACGTCCTCAGGACTTCTGAATCTAAAATGAAGTTTGTATTAAAGATTAATGTGTCGTCGTCGTACAGACATGAACAACTTCCCTCTTTGTGTGTGGACGCTGCAGGAGCTGTTTGAGCGTCTCCGTGAGACTCGTGTTTCTGCTGCTTCGGTTCTTATAATTAAAACATCAACACTAAGAGTTACTTGTGTCGCCCAGACTAAAGCAAAGGTGCGTCTCCGTTTAACTTTATTTTATTTTCCCCACAAACTCACACTCAGCTCTCTGTGAGAGTCAGTTTCAGCTGTTTATCCTGTTTATCTCTGTGGGTTTTAAACAATTCTAATACGAGTACAAATGTGGAATGATCATTTTATCTTACTACAACAGCACATGGATTTCATGTCTCAGCTTTACGCAGAAAAAAATAGGCTTTGTGAACGTTTCTCTGTTTAATGTTGAAAACTGAATCAGCTGTTGCACACAGGCAAAAACATAATCGTCTGTCTTTCTGCAGCAGGCGACAGTAAAGTGGCTTTTCAGAAAGTGCTTACGGGTTGTTGCTTTTACACCATTCAAGTACTCCGAGCTGAGATGACAAAAGGTTACAAAAGTCCTGCAGAACTCGGTCGTTGGCTGAAACCTGGAAAAACGAACGTATAAAGAGCACAAAGCCAAAGATTAAAACGATCAACGAGAGGATGAGTCGTGTGCCCTTGGGTTTCTGGTGCAGAAGAGCTGAATGCTTCAGTTTGTACCTGCTCGGTGTGAAGGGTGCGGAGCAGCAGCTGAGCAGAGTCCAGGCTGCGGCACTGACTCCATCCAAGCAGCAGCAGCAGCCGAGACAACGGCCGAAACTCCAGCTGCAGTAACGCTTTCAGCTGGTTGAACTCCTCATGTTTGACCAGGTCCAGCGCAGTGGCCTACACCAAGAAAACCTTCTGTAAGCTGCAGAATTTCATCAGCACGCGTTTCATCAAACCTTCTTAACTTGACGAGCAGAAGGAATCAAGAAGATCGAAGACCATTTCTTCTTGGTTTCATAAATATTGTCAACAACTAGAATAGGCCTGTCACGATAACAAATGTTGCTGGGCGATTAATTGTCTCAGAAATTATTGCGATAAACGATAATATTGTTTGAAATTTGACAATAATTAGTAATTATTGCCAAATTTAAGAAGAAATGTTGGTTAATTTGTGTGTAGTACCTTTTTTGACCACCAGATGGCAGTATAAGACTGTTTGAACTGAAGGATGGATAGTGAGGGAGCGAGCAGCGTGTCTCTAAGAAAAATGGGAGGGAGGCCCCTTGACGTGACATGGGCTGTCTCTTGTTCCTGTTTATTGGTTCTCAAAATGGCGGATGCTTGGTGTGGTTTGAGCTCTTTAGCATTTGTCACACAAAGCTTTTAATAAAATATCAGTAAACAAGTTCCCAGCTTCTTTTTGCAGAGAAAAACATTTTTTTTTTACACAAAGGCACGGGTTTCAACCATGAATTTTGGAGCATTGACAAGATGGAGGTTTTTTCCCCGAGGTTGGCGTGTTAGCTTAGCTTCTCAGCTTAGCTGCTGTTAACGATCCAAAAATGTGATTTTGGATCGTTAAAACAGATTTTAAAGAGAAAGGGAGGCGTCAGTGAAGAGCACCGGAGTTGAGCATTTTGTCATCCAGTGTCTTCAGTAGAAAGAGAGGCACGAAAAAAACGATAAAGCTGATAAATGAAAACGAGGTCAATCATTTTCATTTATCATGCGATTAATTGATTAATTGATTTATTGTTTATCGCGACAGGCCTAGGGAAGAAAATTCAAAAGGGTTCCTCACCAGAACCTGTTCGAGGAAGTGCTTCCCGCTGCTAAGGCACTCAAAAAAGATGGCCTTCCATGCAGACCGACGGTTCTTGTGGCAACACAAACTGAGGGTGAGCTTCTCTGCTTCGGGCAAGTCCACTAGAACAGGAAATACAAAAGTGCTAAAGTAGCTAAAATGAAGTTGCTGCTGCACCCAATGATTATTTTCTGAAAGTTTCATTATAACCCGTTATGATGACCTGACTGAGCATTAATGGATTTGGTACCTGGATGATTAAGCATGAACTTTGAACCTGTGTTTTAATTCACAAGATATTTTGCTAACAGAAAGACAGCGACAACTCCAGTGAGTAATGGCAACATATTAAACAGTTCTTGTGCGATTAATTCACACTGGAATATTTGTTGGGGCCAACTATTAGCTGCAGCCACAACAAACTAACTCACCATCGCAGAATTAGATGAAATAAAACTTTATTATCCCAAAGGAAACTGAGCAGTTACCATCACAGCACAGCGACAAAAACCTTCAGAATAAAAGACCAGTCCTCAAATATAAACAGTAAAATGAAGAGAGGGGGAAAACACTCTCCCTCGAGTGTCCACAAAGTGAAGTAGTGATGCTGTTAAGTAGTAGTAGTTAAGTAGTAGTAGTTAAGTAGTAGTAGTAGTAGTTAAGTAGTAGTAGTAGTAGTT